CTTCGACTGGGACAACACCAAGATCCTGGGACAGGCTAGGCAGAGACGAGCACGAGAATTCCTGGAAGCATGGCACTCCACGAAGCAGGCTATTAATAAACGCATTGAACTCGACCCCAAATACGTTCCACTACGGAGGAAACCCGGAAGTGAGGCAATCCATCGCAACGGACCCCAGAGTTTAAAAACCAGGCGGGAAAACACACCAACGCTTCATCAGAGGCTGCACTGAGGATGTTACCAAGCACGGTAACGAAACGTCTGCGGAACAACAAACCAGCTCGGTGAGCCAACCAACCTCAACACCCACAACCCGAGCCACAAATCTACTCCAAAACCTTAGTCAGATATCCATCTGCAAACAAAACGTTGCAGATTCCCAGTTCAGTTTTTGATCATACAGTTGATCATTTGAGCAGTTATGCAACTCTATGTTTAGCTTCTAGGACAGGTCTTTGTATGGAGCATGATTATGTTAATTCTTGTGGCCTCAAAGATGTCTTTTCGTGCTTTTAGATGATATAGCCGTCAAATGTTACAGAAACTGTGCCAATTCTGTACAAACTCTGATTAGTTATTCCATCTGTGTCTAATACCATTGATGTTCCTATGAATAATACTACCTCAGAGGCAGCTCTTGATCAGAGATTTTGCAGAGATTTCTTGAATCAGGTTCTTGACAGTTGCCTCCAGCCGTCCCAATGCCTCAGTCAATTTGAAAAAAAAATTAAAATGTTCTCCAAGAAATGTGAAAACACCTGTCTTTAAGTACCAGATTAATGTATCTAAGATAAATTGAATTCCTTCCCTTCTGGTTAGTCTTAAATTGCTTGTTTGAAGTAAGGATGCGATTTTGAGTTATTAGGCGAGGCTGGTTAGGCTGGGACATTTCTCCCCTGGAGCGTAGGAGGCTGAGGGGTGGTCTTATAAAGGTTTATAGAGTCATGAGAGGCATAGGTAAGGTGAATACCAAGATCTTTTCCCCAGGGCAGGGAGTCCAAAAGAGGGGAAAGATCTAAAAAAAAAAAAGGACCTGAGGGGCAGCTATTTTCACACAGAGGGTGGTGCATGTATGGAACAAACTGCCAGGAAAGTGTAGAGGCAGGTGCAATTACTACATTTAAAAGACATTTGGACAGGTACCTGAATAGGAAGGGTTGAGAGGGATATGAACCAAACAACGGCAAATGGGACTAGTTCAGTTTAGGAAATCCAGTCAGCATGGTTAAGTTGGACTGAAGGGTCTGTTTCCATGCTGCATGATTCTATGACATAGGCTTGATAGCCTATTCTCCTGCAGAAGACATTTGAAATTTTACTGTTGAATCTCAGGGCCACAAAGTTAAAATAACCTTTCGTTATCATTTGTCTGCAAAATATCAGATAAAACTATAGCAATGCTCTATGTGCTTCAGTTAGTTTAGGTTTACTGAATAGGGATGTAAGTGCATTGGAATTCTGATCCACATCTCTTTATAATGTCAACATTTAATATTGTAGACAACTGCAATTCTCTTTCCAGATGCTCGTACAAATAATTGGGAATAAAGTTTCTAATCACTAAGCAGAGAAAGTATTAAACTATGACCATTATTTTTCAATACAATTGGGCTTGACTTTGGGATATATAAGTTTGATAAAATAACATTTTTTTAAAAATCAGTATGTTCGACCGGAAAGTTTTCCTCTGCTGCCATGACTGGTTATAGGTTCCGTGTTTTGTTGCTTAAATCTGTTGCAATTTTTAGTTCCCTAACCTGACAATCGTGAACTGAGTTAATGACCAGAATTTGTAAAGCAACTACCAGAAGCTGCTATTTCACTCACTTCATTCCACAGGGATTGTGTGTGTACATCTGCTTTACGTGCGTGTAAAATAGTATAATTGCATTTGCAGGCTTTTTGATCCATTTCCAGGCTTGTGTAATGTGAGTAAGAATAATGATACTCTAGGAAGATGAAGAGTGGCACATAGGAGAACAAAAGTGTACTGATTTTTGTTTTAAAAGCACCTTCAAGCCAGATGGCACCAAATGTTGAGAGTACTGCTGTGCTCTGTGTTGTAGGACAGTGGGAGGCCTTAAGTTCAATCTGTTCTCCTAAGTCCCTGACCCTGCATCATGCCAAGATGGTGTTTGCTGAATAGAAAGAAATAGGAGAAGATAGATTATGTTTTGAATAAATGGTAGTGCTTCCTAGAAGTCAGCCAGAGAGGTTATTAGCGAAAATCTGGGAACAAGCCATCTATCCATAAGATGTGATATCATTTAGAAAGAATATTTTTCATTCAAAGATAAAATTTCAAATCAGCTGTGATTTGATTATGAAAAATAAATGAATAACTATGAAATAGTATTTATTTCCTTTCAAAGTTCGTGTTCTTTTTGGGTTATCTCCTCCTATAATTAGTCTCCTGGGAAGTACTTTGCAAAGTTTCTCCCTACATGACACCCGAAATGTGAATTGAATTAAATTCTTGAATATCTGCCCAAATTGACTTCTATGGTGACTTGCCTTGGTATAATATCTCCATGGCTGCTCAGCTCAGGAACCATTGAGCATGTGGTCCTTGGAGATCTGTATCAATTTGAAGGGGGTGACTCAATTATTCTGCTGCTACCAATGCAGCAATAACAGGCACTCGTCCAGCCAAAGCTTTCTATCTCCCCACAACATGTACTTTCACGTATTTATTAAGGAGCAAAAGTGGGTAACTTCTGCGTCCCAGTAATGCCAATCCTTGTTAACGTATTCATGTTCATCTATCCAAAAGAATTCTATACTCTCCATTCCGCTTGGCATTTAAAAACAAATGAAACATTTCTCTTTTAACTGTGCCATAGATGAAGATACAAACAGGACTGAAAATATTAATTTGGATGCTGCTCTGAATCCTAGAATTATTCTCATTGCTCCCTGAGCCCCCTCCAATTTATTACTTATAGTCATAGTCATACAGCATGGAAGGAGACTATTCGGTCCAACTCGTCAATTCCAACCAAGTTCCAAAAATCAAACTACTCCCACTTGCCTGCACTTGGCCCCTATCTCTCTAAACCTTTCCTGTTCATGTACCTATCCAAATTTCTTTTAAATGTTGTAACTGTACCTGCATTTAACATTTCTCTGGCAGTTCATTCCACATCCAAACCATCCTCTGTATGAAAATGTCGCCCCTTGGGTCCCTAGTAAATCTTCCCCCCCTCACCTTAAAAATATGCCACTTAACTTTAATCCACAATTTTTTTGGCATGATATCTGTCATTTGTTCTTGGAATTTGCATAACTGGCAAAGCTGCATTTATGATCCATCCCTAACTTCCTGAAGAAGCTGCTAGCGAGCCATCTAGTGCTTGTTTTTATATTTGATTGACTTGCCAGACTTCCTTAGAGATCTTTGAAGTATCAATCATATAGTGTGGGACTGGAGTCACACATAGACCAGACTAGGGAAAGGTGAAAGGTTCCCTTCCTTGAAAGAACCAGTTAGATTTTATGGCCGTATGATAGCCTTTTATAATCTATCTTCAATGGGTCAGATTTAACAATTTAGATTTGTTTTTATATCCTCCACAGTATGATTTTTTCCACACAGTTACTCGCACTTAGTTTAGAAATCCAAATTGGCAAATCTAATTATGAAATGACTTTGCTGGTGGCTTCACATAGTTATTCTCTTAGGTCATTCAAACAAATATAGAAGTGCTTTTCCTTAACCACTGTAGAATCATGGATTTTTGGTGAAAGATCCATTGGAAGAAAATGGGATGGAAATAATTGCCGGAAATAATTTGCGAGACTATTAGGGTAGAACAGGGGAATGAAATTGCCTCTGCAGAGTGTTTGCATGGATTGAGTGGGCTGAATGGCCTACTATGTTGTTATGACTCTCAAAAATGGCTTCCTCATCTGTCATCTCTGCTAAAGGATATCCATTCTTGACATGTTCCCATATTTTTCATTTGTTTTCTGATACTCAGATTTTTGAAGTTATCTGAATTAAAATCCATCTGTGTTCTAACATGTGCAGTTCTGTCGTCCAGACACACAGATTTTCCATTCCCTCCCTGTCCCCTCGTACTTGAACCAGACCCATATCACTTGTCACCAGATTTCATTGACTGTTCCATATCCATATTGTGCATAAGTAGTTAAAACTATATAAATCCAGCATAATCTCTCTGGACAAACACACAACTATGGATGCTGGAAATCTGAAACCTAAAAAAACAATATGTGCTGGAGCACACAGGTCTGGCAGCATCTATAGAGAGAAAACAGTTAACGTTTCAAAACCAGTGATCCTTCTTCAGTTCTGACTTGAAATGTTAACTGTTTTCTATCTACATATGCTGCCAGACCTGCTGTGTTTCTCCAGCGTGCTCTTTTTTTTCCAACCTCCTGCGGAGGTTTACTAACTGCTACCTCCAGCCGTTTCATCTACAGTACTGTCATTCTAACGTTTCGCTGCTT